GAAGGCCATATTGAAATATTGAATCCAAGGGACTCTGAACAAAAGGAGTTGCATGACACTGCGCAAGCTGCCAAGAAAACCACAGCCATGCATGCAACCCAAAACTATGTGAATGGAACCGCAGGCTGGTAGCTGAAGAGTCCGACAGCACTGCAATAGGCTCCCTGTGTGCGAAAGGAAGGAGCAGAAGGAAACCCGGGTGCGGCCTAGCCGCCCCCCGGCCTCGGCGGGTGAAAACGAAAGCCCCGGCTCAAGGGGTGCGGCCGCGCCGCCCCCGGGCCTCGTCGGGCGAGAAAGGGAAGAAGTGGAGAGAAAGCCCGTCAGCGGGTGAAAGAAAATTGGAAACGATCCATTCTCACTCAGGGAGCAGGCAAAGGAACGGCCGCCGCCTCCTCAGCAGGCTGACGGCGCAGGAGCGCCCGGGCGTTCTCGCGCTGCTGGCAAACGGAAAGGCTCTGCTGCAAGCACTCAGTCCCAACACTGCCCGGGTCACCGGACAGCGAGCCCACAGCAGCCCCGAGCATCGACCAGACCCGCGTTGCGGCAGGTCCACAAGCTTCAGCCACAAGCGGCACGAACTGCACTCCAGCATCCAAGCAGAGCCGCTGAGTGTCCAGGTGCTGGCGCTTGCGGGCCTCATTGACGGGCCGATCGCCCGCCTCAGCAGTTGACACGAGGGTGCCGGGGCGCATGCCGCTGGTCACCGCCAGGTCGAACGCAACAGGCCCTTTCAAATCCCAATTTGGAAGGTAGACGTCAGCTGGCCGGCGGCCACTGCTGCGAGCGCCCCATCATTTGCAGCGCCAGATGTCTCAGGGCGCGGGGGCAGGAGGCCGGGCTTCTCCACCTCAGAAGGTCCGGAGCCGGTGGTGCCTCTTGATTTGAGGGCAGGCCCGGGCATGGTCACCGAACTGGTCAGCGGTGCCGTCACCACGTTCTCCACCTCGGCGGTAAGTGTACCGAGACATCGTGATAGATGTCGTGACGCGAGGGTCTGTGTGTAATGTCCGTGCGAGCACGTTGCCTCGGGGCTTGCGCTCCTTTCCTGGTGCTGCCGGCCGCGATGGGCGACGGCTCCGCTACCAGTTAGGAATTGCAAGTGGTTCCGCACGAGTGCACTTTTCACGCTTGCCGTACGCTCCAGACCGGTCTAAACAAAAGGGCATTTGGGCCGAGATATAACGGCACATAAGGAAGATTCACTTCTACTCCTACATGATATGCAGTACGAAGATCTACAAGGCTAACTAGCACCGAGAGGAAGGAACATCACCTTGGCTATACAAGTATGCAAAATGGGGAAATTTCACAACCCTGAACCCTAAAACCAATTTCTAGGGGTTAGGGTTGTCGGGCTGAGGGTTGTCGAAGGCTCCACGTAGGGGCGGGGGCCTATATTGCAAAAGAGAGACCGTAAGAAATCTATGCACGGACTCCCAAACAAAGGGTTGGGTTCTGCTCAGGAATGGAAAACAAAATGGAATTGGTCATAATACTTGGGGCTTAGGGTTTAGGGCTAAGGTTAAATCTTGAGTCCACAAACAAAGAGCCCTACATGCTAGTCCTCAATCCAGGTATACCCCTTTAAGCCAATAAGGGCCTAAGGTTGAATACGGGCTGCACGCGACTCGGGGCTCTGTCGTCATTTGGGCCTTGATCGCTGCAAAGGCCTTGGCCTGCACTTTCTCCAGGGACTTCTGCTCTTCCTTCTCGACGATCTCCAAGGCTTGCTGCTTTTCTTGCTGGCAGTTAGCTTCCTTCTGCTCCAGCGCTGCGATCTCCGTCTCGGCTGTAGCTAACTCTATTTGGGTTTCTTGGGGATCTCCTTGTCGTGTTCAATATCAGCTTGCTATAGGAGCTACTGATAGGGTCATTCCTTCCTTATGACCAGCAGGAAGGGTGGGTAACGGTATGGCTGAGAAACTCCAAGCTCTAAACACTTGATAGGGTTCAAGGTTTAGGCTGTGTCATCCTGTGTCTGCAGGTGGAGACTAGGGGACTGGGTTGCGGGGTTATCATGCTGCACCGCGAACCCTAAAGCCTACACCCTAAACAGCCCTTAATCCCTAAACTCTTAACTACTTGGCCCTGAGGTTTCGGGCTTCAAGATCCCTAAACCCTAAACCCAAACACCTATTCAAAAATCTCTAAACCCAAGTACTTATCCAAAAATCTCCGAACTCTAAACCCTAAACTAAACCCTAATACCAGTTCGAAAAATGTCTACCTATAAAACTGAGGCGAAGAGCCATGATTTTTTTGTGTATTTGGGAGGCCCAGGTTGAATTTTTGTCTGTATTCTATCTACTTCGAAGTGGGCCCCAAAGCCAGGTTTAGGGTTAGAGCTTTGAGTTTAGGCTTTCGGGTTTAGGGCTGAGGGTTTAGGGGGCAGGGTTTAGGGTTTACGGTTTAGGGCATATCCTCTGTGTTCTGTTTGCTTCTGCAAGACAATCTAAACTTTAACCCCACAAATCCTAAACCCTGAACCGTCCTAAATCCAGAACCCTAAGCCCTGAACACGGCAGCCCTAACCGTAACCCCTGCTTGGAGGATATGGTGGACTTAGTAAGCATACTTCACAATCTTAGAACCCCTAGAAGCCAAAAAGTAACACTGGATATCCCTAGCATTAATGAACCTACTTACTGAGTCCCATGACCCTGCAAATCCACCTAGATCCTGATTCCTCAAACCTAAACCGCAAACCCTAAACCTTGAAACCTAAATCCCTATCCCTATCTCCCAATCAGAGAGCACATGGGCTATCCTGCGGAGCCACGACAGTCGCAGGCGGAGCTGTAGCATCACGCGAAATAGTGGAGGGGCCACCCGAAGCCCCAAAGCCTCAGAGGGCGGGGGCCCGCTCCCGGCTGCTGTAGCAGAGCCAAGTGAGCACGACAGGCCTCACGTCCTGGCGCAGGTGTTGCCAGCTCCGACAGCGTAGCCTTGTCCAGCGCCGATGACAGCTCTCGCTGTCATGGTGGGTTGGGAACTGGGGATGGCAAGCGGTCAGAAGGCAACACAGCCAAGTTGGAGGCGGCGAGCGCCGCGGTTTAGGCTGCATCCAGAATGCAGCAGCGAGCCCCACAGGCGAGCCGCAGCGCTGTGTCGAGATGCGCTCCGCACCGGGCTTAGTTCCCAGAGCTGCTTGCAGGCGAGCTGCAAGAGGTAGAGGAGCTCCAAGCAAGCTCTCCAGACAGTTCATGACAGCAGCGTCAAAGGCGGTAGCAGCCCGTGCCAGGGCGGCCGGCGGGGTCACCCGAAGGGCATAGCTCATCTTGCTGAAGGAGGCACAGTGCCGGAGAAGTAGGAGAGCAGTCTGAGGGTCAGCCAGGTCACACAATGCTCGCAGCAGTAAGGCAGCTTTGTCAACTCTTTGCTGAAGCGTGTAGGCCTTGCAATAGGCTGCCGGCCCAATAGGGGCTCCCAGGAGAGAGGCGGTGCCGGTGGTGTTGAAAGGTATTCCTGCAGGGAAAAGCCCATGTCAACAGCTGCGTGCTCCCCCGCACAAACAATAAGCTCGCACTTAGCAGGGTTGAGGCGAAGCCCACATGCCGAGCAGCGGCTACCAGGCGCTGCAGGGAAGCAGCGACCTGACGACGCTCACCTGCCAAAACAACATCAGCCAAGTAGGCTGCCACTATGTCGGGTCGGTCCGCCTGGCACCCGCCAGCGGCCAGGAGCGCAGGTTGCAAGGCCAGCGGATCTCCCTGCTGAACCCCGCTTTCAGAAGTGAGCGGCACCCCATCACAGAGAAGGCGGGAGTGACCACCATACGTCCACTCGGCCCACGGCCCGAGCCCGGGCAGGTGTGTGCGAACTTGTCGCAAGAGCTCAGCCCTGTCAACCACATTGAAGGCATTGGCAAACTCGACTTTGAGCAAGACTTTGCCTCGTTCACCTGCGTTGCGGAGAAGCCACTGACGCACAGCATGCACCACAGCCTCCGCGCCTACCGGCGTAACAACCCCAAAGTTGCAGCGGGGCGAGCCGCTCCAGAGCGGCTTCCTTCAAGGCTGAGCACAAACACTTGCCTACGAGCCTGCGCAGCACCTCGCCGACAGCAGCCCCCCGGCTTGGGGAGGGCAAAGAGGCGGGCTCCGGCCAAGTCAGGAGCAACTTCAGGAGGAACGTGCCAGCAGCGAGGATCCGTCGGCGAGGTGGACGGCTACCTCACCGCCATGCGATGTGCCCAAAGCCTCCCGGAGGTGGTTGCCTCGAAGCCCAGTCAGCCCAGGTGCGCTACCGCCCGAAGCTGCGCGCAGCTTGCACAACTTGCTCCACGAAAGGCAGGAGGCCTTCGTGGATGCCAAGGCGGGCCTGGCCGCAGGAGCGTGCGGGTGCTTGGCACGGAGCAATGCCATGGCAGCAGCGTCCAGCACGACAAGCTCGGGGCCATCAGTGCGCAGAGCATGCGGCCCGCAAAGCCCCGGTCCCAGGGCTGGTGAGTCCCAAAAGCCCAGCCCGCTCGCCATCAAGCCAGCGCTGACAGCGCCTGACAGTAAACTGGGCTGCGGCCTCGGCGAGCAGCCCCCCGTGCAGCATGATGCAGGGCTCTGGCCAGGCACTTCGCCCAGGCGCCTCGGGCCGCCTTGGGAACATGCCGAAGGGTGGGCATGTCAGCGGCAAAGACTGTGGCAAGCTGAAGCATGGCAGGCTCGGGCACTTCCGCCTCAACGGCCACAGTTGCAGCAACAGCGTGACGGGCAGAAGGGAAGCATCACATTGCCAGCCAGCGAGCCAGCTGCATGGTCATCTGCAGAGGGCACCCGGGCACCAGGCAGAAGTGCCAGTCGCTCCGGTGGCGATGAGAGCCGTGCATGACCAGAGTCCACAGCCATGTCCCCAGAGCCCGGGCCAGGCTTGGCAGCTTCGCCGATACGGCACCCGCGCAATGGCCAGCCAGACCACTTGCCAGAAATGGCAGGCGCCGGCGATACAGCTTGACCCGGGCCGCACTCTCCAGCCCAGCTAGCGGATTCCACTCCAGTGTGTAGGCCGTCTTCCTTGCCCAAATGCCATTCAGGGCATCTGTGAGGACTTGCCGTCCATGGCGATTGCAGGACGGCAGCAGCGGCTGGCAGGCTGCATATAGAGGGGCGCGGTGCCACAAGCACACACAGCCACCAGAGAGGCCAACCTCCAGAGAAAGGCCCCATGGCTCAATCATTCATAGTCGCCGGCAACGGCCCTGCCTGTAGAAGTCCTCTTGGATCTTGGATCCACCATGTTGAAATTCAATATGGATTCAATATTTCAATATGGCCTTATGGCCTTCCAAGATTCCTCCCCAAGAGTCCTGAGGAATCTTGGATCTTCCAATGTGTTTCTAAACGTCCTTTCAATCTGAAGTATGTTCCGTTACGTAGTTTTGTAGGGGAATCGGAGGAGTTTAACATCAGAGAATACTTC